TCTATATGCCGATTGATTCATCAAATCAAAAGAGGCTACGGATGATGATGTTCATACCAAAGAGAGGTCTCAATAACATCCACACGTTGTATGTAATCGTCAGCGGCTGTGCAAAAAACAGAGAAGCCGATTAGATGGAGAATGAAAGAAAGGCAAGGCATGAGGGCGCGCGGCGATCTTACCTAGATGTGGAAACTCCATGATCATTGCGCTGCCTGCATATCGATATGCAGCAAGTCAACGTTATTGAAGAGAATAACAGCAGTGAAAAACCAAAGCTCCAATAATCAAGTTTCTCTGCAGCTTCTCAACAGAAAACTTCGCCTATAATTGGCTAATAGTGTTGATTTTGTGCAAAATAAAAAAAACTTGTTTTTCATGTGTATTTTCGAAGCTCTTGTTACTCCACTTTATTGGTTAGCTTTCGGCATATAATGCCTTCTTCAGACCTTAACTTTACAATATATAGTTGCAAACAATCAGTCAACAATCAGTTACTACATAGAACACATCATATCGTATCAAACCGACCGGAAATAGTGGGGAAGAGGGGAATGGATCTATTAGCGGGGAACTTGGAAGAGAAATAGAACACCGCTCTTTTCCTGAGGCGACGGAGTATGATCATTCAATCAGTCCCAGGAGGTCACGCATCTCCTCCTTTGCGTTGATTTCCAGCTTGATACGGTATATTTCCCGTGCTTCCATGTTTTTCCTTTCCAGGGGCCGTACCAAATATCTATGCAAAACCCTCACATCGAAAGATGGAGCGTTCTCCTTCTCATGCTTGAGTGTACGGTGCCTAGAAAAGCTGTTGTTTGGGTAGGCAAAAAAACTGTAAAGTCGCGGTTCATCGCTCCATAGAATTCCCGTTTCGTTTCGCATTTCACATTTCACCTATGCACAAAAACAAAGTTTCTAACCAGCATTATTAGAATTTTTCCAGTTCATAATTTTTCTCAAGATGCTTCACATTCTTATTGTTGCCTCTCTTCAGTTTTTAATTTTTTACTCGCTCGAAAAAGATATGCAGACAGCACCGTGAAAATGCAGCCCTCACACTTAATTAAATCGTCTCGCACCGAGGTGCGAAATATGCTCAACTGTACAGAAATTGCCACACCCCTAAATCAGGGTTCAGCACTCTAGATCAATCAAGGTAATTACTCAGCAGTTGTCNCAGAAGGAACAGAAACCAGGAAGCATGCAAGAAACACCGAACCAAACAGTGTTCAGTAACTATAGTTTAACAGCCCATTGATCGTAGAAAATTATTTCTTACAATTAGTAGTCATCTTAAATAGCGTGCTTGAACGCGCTACGCAATCATCAATAACCAGGGTTACAAAAAAGGAACTCTCCTGTCATCAAGACCTTCCCGCAGTGCCTGGACACCCCAAAATAACGAGCTATAGTGCTAAGGCGCGACGCAACCGCTCACACGTAGGGTTTGTCTGATTATGTTGTTTATGTTCTTCTGCCCTTTTGCTCCTTTCATAGAACGCTGGCCGAGGGACTACTCGGCCTGCGATATCGATCAAAGTCCAGTTGTAAACAAGAGGCAAGCATTCTCTGAACGAAGTTATGGGGGTGGTCTCCGGAGAGCGTTCAAGAGCGGAAAGCACAAAAGCCACGGTTGCCGGCAGCCCAGCAGTGGCGGCTTGGAGTGGATGTGAGCGTGACGCTTCACAGGCATGAGAGCAAGGATCGAGTTTGGTGGGCGATGGCGTTTTTGCATCTTGCAGGACATTTTTCTCCAAGTTGGAAAAAGCCTTTTATGTTAGTTTTACCGCCTTCAGCGCTTTTTAGTTGCTGGATGCGAGTCAGTTCCTACTCGAACCGTCTGTCATCTGATCCAGCCAGCAACATTGCGAAAATTCTATTCTTATTGTTGTACATTTCAGACTCACTGTAGAATAACTTTAACCTATTATAAGCCGATGCGATAATCTGGCACGAACTGTTTGAAACAAAAAAGTCTTTCACAATGAGCGCAACAAGTGAAAAACTCTCTTTTCCGATAGCGCTTCCCACCTGGATTTGTTTGTTATCTCGCTTTAACAAGTTTGCTGGGAAGAAAAACATGCACCTGTTCTTTGGACACTTCCACGTTACCAAACATCAACGACTCTATAGATGTGCTTGCGGTTCCCTCTTCATCATACGGTTCCCACAGTGGATCAGCCTCCTCGTCCTCAATCACGCAATTTTCTTCGCCCTCAATATCGAGGTCTTCGTGAAAGGGATTCCGCAAGATAGAGAAAAGAGATGAAAGGGATTCCGCAAGATAGAGAAAAGAGATTCTTCGCCCTCAATATCGAGGTCTTCGTGAAAGGGATTCCGCAAGATAGAGAAAAGAGAGAGAAGAGAAACTATCTATCAACTTTGCTCCTTCCTTGTAAGGGCGCGTTCAACATTACAGGATTCGAATTACGTTCTTTAGTGCTACTTACATCCATATATACAATACTTGGCCGGTTTTTTTTTGGCAACCATCACCTTTTTTGAAAACTGACCGCAACCCCCACCTTCTTTTAAAACCAATCGATAGTAGTGGAAGACGATTTAAGTAGGAACTGACTCGCCTCCAGCAATTAGAAAGTCGCTGAAGGCGGTAAAACTAACATAAAAGGCTTTTTACAACCTGGAGGAAAAAGTCCTGCAAGATGCAAAAACGCCGCTGCCCATCAAACCCGACCCTTGGTCCTATGCCTGTAAAGCGTCACGCTTACTTCCACTCCAAGCCGCCACTGCTGGACTGCCGGCGACCATGGCTTTTGTGCTTTCCCCTCTTGGGCGCTCTCTGGTGACCACCTCCATAACTTCGTTTAGAGAATCGTTTGGCAGATTTTGAATGCAGATTTGAAAACAGCATCAAAAAATACGTCTAGCAGTATAGGTCTCACTTCAAATGGCCACTTCGACTTGGGATCCTTCCCTTGTCAGAACGCGCCATGGAGAAATGAATAAGATCTGCTCGTAGAAGAAGCAAAGTGAGGCAGAATAAGATGTGTCCAGTTTTTTTTTCATGTAAAAAATTGAGGAATTAGAAAATGAGGCAGTAAGGCAGTGAGATGATGAAGATCCACTGCTAGGAACGTGCAGAACCTTGCAGCACAGGTGTTGTATGTATTCAAAAATGCGCGCGTGGCAGAATGATTCAAACCTCAAAACCTCTCGAAATTGGTGAGCTGTGCCACGCGCTACGTGTACGGCGTGACCTGGCTACACTGACGATGAGAATGAAGCGCACCTAGCCTACACTTCTTTTGTTTTGGAATTGGGGTCAGCTAGCGAGTCGTTTTTGAGTAAGAACTGAAATTCAGAACGTAGGGGAATCGTATTGACCCAACATTCTCTTGGCATATTCTCGAGTCTGCCGCTCAATTGTCAATGAAGCTGAAACGATAACTTGCCTACGCCCAGGTTCTATGCTTAAACTGCCAATCAATGGCTACCGAAATAATTTCACTGAAACTCTGGTTTACCGAAAGGCACAGTTCACGATAATTCGAGGGCGGGAAAGCCAAGCTGATCGCCGAGTGATGAGAAAATGTTTTTCACCCATTCTTTTTTCCTCAGTTATTCTTTTTGCTGCCGCGACCCCTAACCTAATTTCCTACTCACAGAGGCTGAAAAAGGTGAGCTACTTTTGCTGTTACTAGGGTTTTTTTGTTTACTTATGCTTATAAGTGAATGAATTTTTGCTCACCATAGTCTGTTATTCGCACCAAAACCCACACGTACGAAGTGAGACACATTGTAGGGCTCGTCCAACCGCTCCACTCTTCTCTAATTTTCTGGTCTCATTTTCATCAAGCCCCCTTTTTAACGGTTTTTCGAAGCTTTTTTCACTTGGGAAACACCGATTCTCGCAGTTTCTTCACCTTCATGGCACGATTTTCGATGTTGTCTTCCATTTTTTATCATAATCTGGACTACCCGAAATTATCGTGAACTGTGCCTTTAAGGCGCGCAAGTCTGAAGAAAGCCTTCTAGTGGCGGCTTACCTCTGTAAAAAACTGTTGTCAGTTTTACGCTCTTGCTTTCCTTCGATAATCAGTTCACGGCCGTCTAGATTCACTTTTAGCTCTTCAGGATGAAATTGTGACACATCCAGCGCTACGACAAACTTTTTATCGTCGTCGACCACCTGTCAAAGGTGCTCATAAAGTGAATGGTTGAAGCTAAAATGTTGAATTTTGATTTTGAAGCCTCTTTCAGAACATTCATTCACCAAGAGAAAACCATAGGAAATAGGGTTTGCTAAGGAACCTGCTGTGTCTCGTCAGCCACATGCATTATTGAATGATCTGCGTTTCTCCAATATGGAAAGAGGCTTCTTTCAAACCGACTGAAATCATGTAAGTAGTCGTTCATCATGCGGTTCATCATCTGACTCCAAAGTTCCATGTTTGGTTATCGTCCCTTTTTCTGTAACAAAAATAGGACGTTTAAAAGGACGTTTCTCAGTTTCGCACTCAGAAGTACGGTTAGAAGATTGCAGTGAAAGACAATGGACGAGTGGCTAGCATGTCGAACGTAAGATGATTGGTGAATAATCGAGTCAGGCAACGGCGGTATGCACGAAATGGGCAATCTCTTCTATAAAAAGTGTAGTAGGGCATGTCCTTTTCGCATCGATGCATTTGGAGTATGCACTCAATGGAAATCTCAAAAATAACACCAATTCAGGAAAAAACAGAAATTTGAAATGGGCATCAAATCCACTTGGGGAAGTGACTATAACTGCTGCAAAAACAGTGCAGTAGTCCAAGGCGTAGCCTACACATATGCGGTTTGTGGAATACAATTTTGTCAAACATCAAGTAATGGTTCGTTGAGTAGGTGAGTTATTAGTTTCAGGCTTGTCTGCATAGCAAAGCAAACAGTTGTGTTTGGCTTCTTCAAGAGAAAAGAGGATCGTAACATGTTCAGAGGCACCCTTACGGTACGGGGATTGTGGAGTAGAGCGACTTTTAGAAAATATTCCTTCACACCTGAGCTTGACGCCTTGGGAAGAGGCGTGAGAGGTAAGATCGCGCAGAAGATTCATTGAAGAAAAAACTTAAGTTAACTTTTACGTCTCTATATCCCTTCTGACCTGCGTCACGTCAGCTCATGCCTAACGGCGAAAATTCTACATCAACTGTTTCTTATAGACCAAACAGGAAGGGATATTATCGAATCGAACGCCCTAAAAATAGAAAGTGAATGAGGAATGCGACTTACAATTAGAGGAATTTGCGAACGTCGACAAGTTAAGAGTTGCTATCTCGAAATACTCCATGCTCTTCATACAAGGTCAGAGGGCACACAGTTGCGGTCTTCTGATGGCTTACTTCAGCAAAAAAATTCTAGCAAGCCATAACTGGACGTGTTTAACAGGTAGGCTTAAGATTATTGAGTTTGATCATAGAGATGTGTAGCGCATTCGAAAAGCTGCTTAATGAAATGTGTGAACTTTGCAATGGATCGGCACCGCTGAAAGCACTAAAATCATCGCCGTCCTGAAGCGACGACGCCGAACGAAACAACAATGTATCGATCGAGGGGGTTGCACCGTCATTTCCACAAACAATCACAACTGTTTTCCGTTGAATCAGCGTTGGAGCGCACTTTAGAAGATGGCGAAAGCAGCCGTATTGAATTGTGGGTGGGAGAGAGGAGGTGGGGGGGGGGGGGGGGGGGGGGGGGTGGATAGGGAACACAGCGTTGAGCGTTGGCGCTATGCACCCTCCTTCCACCCATCCAAAAACCGGAACTCGTATCGGGCTATGGGAGCAGTCAGAAAACAGCTGATGTTGAATAGGAAACACAAGTCTTTCTAGTTTTCGATTTTCGAGACCTTATTTCATTTGACGACGGCGAACTCACGCAGCTAAGTACCATGAGTCGCTGCTAACCCTAAGGAACGATTTGTGCATCGGCATGCTTACGCACACCATTGTGTAAACGAAAGAGCCCATCCAACTCGCTGCGGATTCGAATGGAAGTCGAACGTGAGGGCGCATCCCAAAATGGATTCGAATGGAAATCGATTCAAGATGGGACCTATCAAGTTATAGGTTGACCGGGGCCTATACCTGAATGTGTAGCGGATATAAGGGGTGCTTATTTATACATATGTTTACTATACACACTAAATACAATAGAGAGAAGACAAAGGGTCAAGGGGATAGGACAGGACGAGCGACGAAGGGTTGGCAAGTAGCCTGGCGACAAGGTGACGTCCACGACTACCATGAAGCAAGAGACTGCTGCTTTTATACCCTGGCTTGTGCATCAGCATTTCACTCCTAAAAAACTACTGGAAAATGGTTGGGTTTCTACTTCTCCACCGAAAGCGAGTTAGGCCTTCCAAAGGAACTGCAACTCTACTGGGCACCTCTGAGCAATCAGAAGACTCCTTCATCAGTGCATTTCGTAAACTGAACTAACTATAAGACCCGATACTATGATAATGGGGACGTTCGATTCGTGCGATTCTGGGTGCGTGCAGCAACTTGAAGTGGAATAGTTTAGTAGGGTCGGACAACCCTACTAATCTGCTCTACTTCAAATTCGGACCCCAATGATAAACCTGCAGTCGTCCAAATCGCACCGAATTTCGTGCGCAATTTGCCGCGCGCACTCAGAATCGCACGAATAGCCACACACCCCTATGATAATTTTTGAGGAAGTGCGTAAGCACACCTAACATTTGCATCATGCACTGTTGAGCCGCAGCGCGGCTGTCTGCGAGAGAGCGTGCGAAGGACAGAGACGCAGACATTGGACACACGCGATGGTTCGCGAACGTCGCCGCGGCGTCTATTTAAGCGCCGCCCTTCTCAACGGCGACACAATTTCGCGATTCGCAATGTCGTTATGGATTCGTCCTGCTACGGTTTTTCCTCGATTCTTCGAAGAATGTATGCGGGAGTTCCGACATATGGAGCGGATGGTGTTCGCTCCACTCAGTCGAGTGAGTTCCATGTGAGACCTGTGAGACTATGTCAGAGACGGCAACTACTGAAGTACGTTAGACACGACTTTGTCTTAATTAATTCTATCTAGTCTCTTAATTTAGTAGTCACATGTTAGTTTTGATTATTTATTTATTTAACGGACATGTTGCAAACATGTGAAATGAGGAAAATAACATGACTATGAAAAAAAGA